GGGGAAATAGGGCAAGGGGCGTTCGGTAGGGGGGGACATTCTAGAACCTTTGGTCTTCCCCTCTCAACCCCTCTCTACCGTTTGTGCATGCAGGCACGTGTCCCCAGCCGGGCTGCACTACTTCCACCGCCCGGGAATGAAGGCACACAAGGCCCAGGCGGAGGCGGACGGCTATGATGCGGTGGTGTTCGTTCATGGGCTAGGCATCGGCCTCACGCCCTACCTCGCGTTCATCCACATGCTGCTGGCCGCGTTTGGGAGGAAGGTGAGCGAGAGCAGGGTGAGCGAGAGCAGGGTGAGCGAGAGCAGGGTGAGCGAGAGCAGGGTGAGCGAGAGCAGGGTGAGCGAGAGCAGGGTGAGCGAGAGCAGGGTGAGCGAGAGCAGGGTGAGCGAGAGCAGGGTGAGCGAGAGCAGGGTGAGCGAGAGCAGGGTGAGCGAGAGCAGGGTGAGCGAGAGCAGGGGTGAGCGAGAGCAGGGTGAGCGAGAGCAGGGTGAGCGAGAGCAGGGTGAGCGAGAGCAGGGTGAGCGAGAGCAGGGTGAGCGAGAGCAGGGTGAGCGAGAGCAGGGTGAGCGAGAGCAGGGTGAGCGAGAGCAGGGTGAGCGAGAGCAGGGTGAGCGAGAGCAGGGTGAGCGAGAGCAGGGTGAGCGAGAGCAGGGTGAGCGAGAGCAGGGTGAGCGAGAGCAGGGTGAGCGAGAGCAGGGTGAGCGAGAGCAGGGTGAGCGAGAGCAGGGTGAGCGAGAGCAGGGTGAGCGAGAGCAGGGTGAGCGAGAGCAGGGTGAGCGAGAGCAGGGTGAGCGAGAGCAGGGTGAGCGAGAGCAGGGTGAGCGAGAGCAGGGTGAGCGAGAGCAGGGTGAGCGAGAGCAGGGTGAGCGAGAGCAGGGTGAGCGAGAGCAGGGTGAGCGAGAGCAGGGTGAGCGAGAGCAGGGTGAGCGAGAGCAGGGTGAGCGAGAGCAGGGTGAGCGAGAGCAGGGTGAGCGAGAGCAGGGTGAGCGAGAGCAGGGTGAGCGAGAGCAGGGTGAGCGAGAGCAGGGTGAGCGAGAGCAGGGTGAGCGAGAGCAGGGTGAGCGAGAGCAGGGTGAGCGAGAGCAGGGTGAGCGAGAGCAGGGTGAGCGAGAGCAGGGTGAGCGAGAGCAGGGTGAGCGAGAGCAGGGTGAGCGAGAGCATCCCTATATGCGTCACATGGCACGGATAGAGGCAGATTGGTACGACGCGGTGGTGTTCGTTCATGGGCTTGGCATCGGCTTGACGCCCTACCTCGCGTTCATCCACATGCTGCTGGCCGCATTCGGGAGGAAGGTGAGCGAGATGGGCTGTATGTACCGCTAGGTCTACCTTGGGCAGGCACAGGCGGAGGCAGACGCACAGACAGAGGCAAGGGGCCAGCTCACCTTGCCTGCCAGCTCACCTTGCCTGCCAGCTCACCTTGCCTGCCAGCTCACCTTGCCTGCCAGCTCACCTCGCCTGCCAGCTCACCTTGCCTGCCAGCTCACCCTGCCTGCCAGCTCACCTCACCTGCCAGCTCACCTCCGCCTCTCACATTGTCTCCTTCCCACTGCCCCAATCCTCCCCCCCCCCCCCCCCCTCTTCTCTCTTGCATGCGTCTGCCCCTTTTCCCCCCTCCCTCCCCAGCCCTTCATTGTGGTCGAGCTGCCCCACCTCGCCTGCCAGCTCACCTCCGCCTCTCCCACTATCGAAGAAGTGGTGAGCGCTCTTTCCTCTCCTCTCTTATCCCATCCTGCTGTGTCGCTCCTCCTCTCTGTTTGCCCCATGCCCCTCCTTCTCATCGTATCCATTCTTGCACACTGCGTGTTGACCCACCTCACCTCTCCTTGGCCTTTCTCTCCTACACTGCGGCTTTGCTTCCCTCGTGTTTATTGCCGGTCTCCTTCTCTCCTTGCTCTCCCCTTTCTCACCTCCGTCTCTGCTCTCCCCTCCCCTTGTGGTGTCTCTGTCAGACGGCTGCCCTGGAGGACGCCCTGCGCAAGCACGGGTATAAGCGTGTGGCGTGGGTACCTTTTCCTTTCATCGTCTCCCTTCCCCTCCCCTCTCTCTCTCCCCCCCCCCCCCCCCGGTTCTTTCCCTTCCCCTCCCCTCTCTCCCCCCCCTCCCCCCGGTTCTTTCCCTTAACCCCCCTGACCCCCGCCTCCCCCAGACCGCTGCTCCACCCACCCCTGTCCCACCCAACCCCCGCCTCCCCCCAGACCGCTGCTCTGGTGGAAAGCCTGCGCAAGCACGGGTACAAGCAACTCTCCATTAACCTCCCTTAACTCTCCTTTGACTCTCGCACCCAACCCCCGCCTCCCCCAGACTGCTGCTCTGGTGGAAACCCTGCGCAAGCATGGGTACAAGCGCGTGGCATACGTCGGCCACTCCTACAGCACCTTTATTGCTGCAACGGTGAGTTATTCCCTGTTAGTCACTCACTGTTGGTCACACTCACTATAAGCACTTCCACCTACAAGCACGGGTACAAGCGAGTGGCATAGTCACTGGTACAGCGCCTTTCTTGCTGCTGCTCCTGCCTCAGTGAGTACTGGTGATGTTTTGTGTTATTGTATTGAGTGACTAAGACGATACGTCGTTCTGTTATTGCTGCTGCTGCTGCCTCAGTGAGTACTGGTGATGTTATGTGTCATTGTATTGAGTGACTAAGACGAGACGTCGTTCAGCTCAAGGGAGTTGCTGGTAAGACGCTCTCTGTTTTCCACCTCTTACCGTCTGTCTGCCCTTCTCCCCCCTAAAACCGCACCCCACCTCTTTGCCACCAGCTGAGGCGCCATCGCTCGGTGGAGGCTGCAATGAGCATCTGCTGCTGCTGAGACGCCATCATCAACCTCTGCTTGGAGCCTCTTCCCTCTCCTGGTTCCCTCTCCTGGTTCCGCACCCCCATAAACAACCCCCCCCCCCACCCCCCCCCTTCTCTCATTACCCTCAGCTGCTGAGGCGCCATCGCTCTGTGGTGGCAGCAATGAGCATCATCGACCCCGTCTGCCTGCTGCTCTGCCTGCCCAAAGTGCTGCACACCTTCGTCTACAGGTGAGTCGCTCTTTAGCGAGTGCGAAACAGTGCTGCACACATTGGTCTACAGGTGAGTTTCGGGTTCCGCTTATTAAGTGCCTGTACTTTTGCTAGTCACTTGATGCTCTCTCAGTCGTTTTTCCTCTCTCCCCCCCTCTCTCCCCCCTCTCCCCACCTCTCTCCCCCCTCTCCCCTCCTCTTTCCCCTCCTCTCAGGCTACCAGGTGGTGATCACCTGGCGGCGTGGATCGGTGAGGCCGTGTGCTGGGTGCTGTGCTCCAGGGTGCTGCAGGTGGCCTCACTCTTGCCTCTCTCCCTCCCTGCTTTTTCTCCCTCTCTCTTCCTCTCCCTCACCTCCTCTCCTTGCAGGCTACCGGGTGGGGACCACCTGGCGGCGTGGATCGGAGAGGCCGTGCGCTGGGTGCTGTGCTCCAGGGAGCTGCAGGTGGCTCGCAGCATCTGCCGCGGCTTCTCATGGTACGTCTGCATGTAAGAAAGGTAATGAAAGCAAGCGTCATCTGATGCATAATAGCTTTTTTCCCTCTCTCTATGCCCGCTTCCTGGTCGCTTCCTTTTGGGGTTCTTAAAGTGAGCGCGGTCATAAAGAAATCCCCAACCCTCCCACCTCCTCTTCTGTCTGCCCAACGCCTGCACATTGCCACCTCCCGCCCTCTGTCAATCCCCCTCCCCCTGTCAATCCCCCTCCCCGCACCCCCTTTCTCCCCCTGTCCCGTCCCCCCTCTTTCCTTGTACAGGCAGGAGTACCTGGTGTGGGGAGACGAGCTGCCGCCCGCCTCTCTGGTGATGCTGGCAGGGGACGACCAGCTGGTGCCCTCTCCGCAGGTGCAGAGGTGAGATCTCGATCCCTTGTTGGAGTCGGTTGAAGGGAGGGGGTGGTACTGACTGAGGTGTGACCACCACCCCTCTGGTGATGCTAGCAGGGGAGGACCAGCTGGTGCCGTCGTTGCAGGTGCAGAGGTGAGGCTGTGATGGATGTTACCTTTGCCTGCCCGTCTGTTTGCAGTAGCCCCCCACCCACCCAGTGCGCCTTGTTCTTCCCTAGTCCTTCTCTTATCTATGTGCGGTGCGGAGGTGTAAGGCTGTGCTGGTTCTCCATGCATTTTCAAGCCTCCGTTTGTCCTGTCTCTCCCTGTCATCTTCCCTTTACAGTCACCTGGCTCGTCACAACGTGAATGTGATTTACAATGACGGGTTCCAGCATGCGCAGTACCTTACAAGGCCCGATGTACAGCACAAATTCGTTATGGCGTTTGCGGCTACATGCGCTAAGATCAGCCACAAGCATGTGCAGTAATTTTGCGCTGTTCATGGTGTTCTCCAGGTGTCCCCGGAAGAGTATCTCGGCTCCATTGCATGTCCATATGTGAATTTATGTTTTGTGGTCTGTTGTGTGGCCTAGCACTAGAGGTCTAGAAGTCTACACATAGCGTATGGGTTGCATCCAACTAGGCAGGAGGGTGTTGTACGGGCGTTTTGCTTTTCTATGCCTTGTGGATGAGTCAATTGGAGCTTCTATGTCAAATGCGTTTCTTCTTAGTGTAGGCTGAGTGTTTTACAGTTGTAATTCTAGGCTGATGGCCACAAAGGCGGAGGGCCATTGTTCATCCTGGACGATTCGGGAAGCCAGAGGCCTGACAAAGCATGCTGACGTGGAAAGCATTCTGTGGCTCGAAAGGCGCCGGAGCTGGAACCACGTGATCGGAAAACCCCCACTTAGTCGGGAAAAGCGAATCAGCGATTTCTGGTGGCTGGTTGGTTCATCAGCAGCTGGGGGGATAAGAATGCACCTGCTTCCGCGTCGCGACACAATTCGTCATCACCTTAGGGTACCTTAAGAAACCGATTGTTTTGTGTAATGTACCTTACAGCACCTAGTTCTCCTCCAGATTTGTGATTCTAGAGCTAAAACGAGGTCGGAGTGGTAGTTTTTTGGACCAGCTCAGGCCTGGTCGTCAAAAAGTAGGGAATCTAGTTTCATTCATTCCTCCTGGCATTATTCTTCCCTTTTAGGACTCGTCAGTAAGTTGCTGACTCCAGGTATTGTGCTGGTAAACATGGCGGCCACACGTCGATTCAGCTCTCAGTTGCGATTGAGACCGCCGACCTTTTCAGTGCTCAATTCAACATTGATTTTCGCATTCATTGCAGCATTGCTGCTCGTATCCACGAAAGCGGCTTCGCGAAACCCTTTCTTAGACTTGTCGGCCAGATTTGACGGTAGATCCGAAGCCAGATTCGATGCCACATTCGGCAATCGACGGTCGGTAGACGCCAAGCCGCCGGCGGTGCACAATCAGCCGTTGATCGGCATCCTCTCACAGCCAGGGGACGGCGACGGGGGACGCGCGCCGCGTGTGAACGCCAAGGGATGGGCGAATGCGGGGAATCTGGAGGTGGAATCGAGGCGGCGGGAGGATCTTAACGTGTCTTATATCGCGGCGTCTTATGTGAAGTGGGTGGAGAGCGCGGGAGCGAGGCCGGTGCACATCCTCTACGACGACCCCGACTGGTTGCTGGCGAAGGTACGGCTGCACATGTGAGGAGCGGCTAGATGTAGGTGAGATGTGTTATACACTTCTAACCAGGTGGGTGGAGAGCGCGGGAGCGAGGCCGGTGTAGATTCTATATGACGACACGGACTGGTTGCTAGAGAAGGTACGAACAGGTTGTGCGGCCGGTTGTGTGCGCGCATAGTCGCAAGCTTTATATGCGATCCTGACCAGGGGGATTGTGGGAGCAAGGCCGGTGCCGAATTTGTATTACGACCGGGAATGGTTGCTGGAGAAGGTACGAGTTTGAACGGTCGGATACTCCCAAGGGGGCCACGCATCTCGTTCCCGGACCCAATGTCTCCGCTGTTCCCCTTGCCAATCCTCCCTGTCCCCCCCTCTATTCCTCCTCCTCCCCCCTTCGCCCATTGCCCCCAACACCCCCCCAGAAATTCCGGGCCATCAACGGTCTGATCCTGCCAGGGGGCGGCACGGACCTCGTTCCAGGTCCCTTCTTCACCGCCGTGGAGAAGCTGCTCAAGGTGACGTGGCACGCTGGGATAGGCTGCGGGGGTTTGCCCTGCCATGCCAGTCCCACATCTCGCGGATTGGTTCTGTAGTGTCTGGTTCTCTTTTTCTTTTTGGTACAGCATGTTCCACTGCAAGCCTATGCCCATACCTTGATCCTGGTTTGATTGCTCCCTAGGCGCATTGCGAGCCAAGCTTGCTTGGTCAAGCGCTCCCTTTCACCAAGCGTTCCCTTTCACCAAGCGTTCCCTTTCAAGGGGGGAAGTCGTGGCAGTTTCCACCACTGCTATCCCGCTCTTCCCCCCTGACAGATATGCGGAGGACTACTTCCCCGTGCAGGGAGGGCACGTGCTTGGGCATGGGCATGGGCATGGGCATGGGCATGGGCATGGGCATGGGCATGGGCATGGGCATGGGGATGGGCATGGGCATGGGCATGGGCCTGGGCATGGGCATGGGCATGGGGATGGTCATGGGGATGGGCATGGGGATGGGGATGGGCATGGGGATGGGCATGGGGATGGGCATGGGGATGGGCATGGGAATGGGGATGGGCATGGGGATGGGCATGGGCATGGGCATGGGCATGGGCATGGGAATGGGCATGGGGATGGGCATGGGGATAGGCATGGGGATGGGCATGGGCATGGGCATGGGCATGGGAATGGGCATGGGAATGGGCATGGGGATGGGCATGGGGATGGGCATGAGGATGGGCATGGGCATGGGAAGGAATGCATGGAGGTAAGAGAGGAGTCGCAAACCTGAACCTCCCTGCGCTCTCATCTCATCCCCCCTCTTCTTGTTTCAGATGGCGCTGGCAGCCAACGACGCAGGGGACTACTTCCCCGTGCAGGGCACGTGCATGGGCATGGAGGCGCTGACCATCTTCTTCAGCCAGGTGCGTGGCGTGCGTGATGGGGGACCCAACTCTTGTGCCATGCTGACCTTCAACATTCTGAAAGTCAAAGGCGTTCGCTGCAGAGGACATTCCAGTAGCGGTCTTGCTGCGCGCCCCCATCTCACCCCACCACCATGCGTGCGAACCGCTCTCCCTCACGCCACGACTTCAACATTCTCGAGTCAAAGACGTTCGCTGCGGAGGACAGCCCAGAGGCGCCCCGATTTTTCGCCCTAAATGCAACTCATCGCATTCCCTCTTCCCCAACTGCCCTCCCCCAACTGCCAGGATTTCAACATCCTCGAGTCAAAGGCGTTCGATGCGGAGGACAGCCCAGAGGCGCTCAGGTTCACAGATGACGAGTCCAAGAGGCGCGCCTACTTCAGCTGGTGGGTGGGAAGGGGACAGACCAGCCAATGGCGCACACACACACACACACGCACGCGCACGCGCACATGCACACGCACGCGCGCACACACACACACACAAACACGCACGCATGCACGCACACACACACGCACAAACACACACACGCATGCACACACACACACACACACACACGCACGCATGCACGCACACACACACGCACAAACGCACACACGCATGCACACACACACACACACACGCACACACACACACGCACACACACACACACGCACACACACACACGCACGCACACACACACACACACACACGCACACACACACACACGCACACACACACACACGCACACACACACACACGCACACACACACACGCACGCACGCACGCACACACACACACACACACATGCACACACACACACACACGCACACACACACACACACGCACACACACACACACGCACACACACACACACGCACACACACACACGCACGCACGCACGCACACACACACACACACACGCGCGCGCACACACGCAAGCACCCACACACACGCACGCACACGCACACGCGCACGCACGCACGCACATGGGAGTCAAAGGCGTTTGCTGCGGAAGACAGCCAAGAGGCGCTTGGCTTTACAAATGACGAGGTCCAGTCCAGGGGCGCGCCTACTTCAGCTCGTGGGTAGATCTAGAGAGTTTGTGGTGCCCCCTTTGTTTTCAGGTCCACTCAAAGATCATTGTCTCTTCACCAGTGTGCCTGGAATGAGCTTCGATAGCGCGCCATTTGGTCTTGAGGGGCCTCAAAATGTTTCTTCACCAGTGTGCGTGGAATGAGCTTCGATAGCGCGCCATTTGAGAACCAGTTTATCTGGCTCATACGTGAAGCTACACTGCCATCGGTACAGTGATGTGTTATTCCGGCTGGTCCGAACGCCGTCCTGTGGCATCCAGTGTTGAATCCTGTGGCATCCAGTTATGCGTAACTGCATTTATCCACTCAGTTTGTTGTGTTTCTGAATGCAACAGGATGAGTCCAGACCGGATACTAGAGCCACGTGATCATCACCGAGTTTCTTTTGAGCCGACTCAAACGTCAGATGGTGTAATTCTGAAAGCAGGTGTTTCTGAAAGCAGGTGTTTTAGAATTCTCCAAAAAACAGCTCAGCAGGATGACTCCGGACCGGAACTGCTGGAGCCTCGTGATAATCATCGAGTCTCTGAATCTTTGATAACGATCATCTCAAAACTCGTTTATTGTTTTTTCTTCCTGAATGCAACAGGATGACTCCGGACCTGCTGGAGCGCATTCAGAAAGAGAAGATCACCATGGAGAATCACGAGGTGAGCTTGTAACGTGTATGAGAGCCACACAGCGTGGTGGGTCGTACAGTTTATGAGGTGTGCTGCGCTATTGTATGTCCAATGCTAAGAACAGTACAGTGTTCCTACCTTATGGCATGCTAGTGTGTAGACCTATCCACCACAAACTGCTGCACACCTACCGCCCTTCCCCTGTCCCCTCCCTCTTCCTCCTCGCACGTGTGTTCTCTGCTCTGCTCTGCTCCGCCCTACTCTGCTCTGCTCTGCTCCGCCCTGCTCTGCTCTGCTCTGCTCCGCCCTGCTCTGCTCTGCCCTGCTCCGCCCTGCTCTACTCTGCTCTGCTCCGCCCTGCTCTGCTCTGCTCTGCTCCGCCCTGCTTTGCTCTGCTCTGCTCCGCCCTGCTCTGCTCTGCCCTGCTCTGCTCTGCTCTGCCCTGCTCTGCTCTGCTCTGCTCTGCTCTGCTCTGCTCCGCCCTGCTCTGCTCTGCTCCGCCCTGCTCTGCTCTGCTCTGCTCCGCCCTGCTCTGCTCTGCTCCGCCCTGCTCTGCTCTGCTCCTCTCTGCTCTGCTCTGCCATAATCACAGGACGGCACTACAGTGGAACGATTTCTATCCAACGACCACCTGAGGGAGTTCTTCCACATCCTCACCACCTCAATCGACAGAAACGGCACTGTGAGTGGGCCGCCCTCGCTCCGTGACATGAACGGCTCTGTGATTTTTGTTTGCACCTGGTTAGCACCCTGCTCACCGGTAAGAATACTCAAAATTGGGTGTTCTTCCGCATTGCCCTCACCTCGCCACCTCGATTGATGGAAACAGCATTGTGAGTGACGCGCTGCCTCCCCCCTTGCTCCCCACTTGCTCACGCCCTGCTCCCGCCTTCCTCCCCCAGTGCTGTCGACTGCTGGAGCCCTGTTTTCTCCCCCTCTTATTATCAATGCCCCTACAGCTACTGTTACCCTTTCTCAAACTACCCCTTTCCCCCCCGCCCCCCCCGGTGTGACGTCAGGAATATGTGACAACCATGGAGGCGAGAAACTGCCCACGCTGGATTTCCCCCTTGTAGTACATCAGTATGTGTGTTCTCCCCCCTTTTTCCCCCCACCTTTGTATGTCTCAGGAATATGTGACAACCATAGAGGCGAGAAACTACCCTATTTACGGCACTCAGTGGCATCCAGAGGTAGGGCTTGACACCCTTCGAAGTGCTGTTTTTTTGTGAGGCGGCTGATGTTTTCCCTGTCTATGGCTCTCTGTCGCGCCTGGAGATGAGGTCTAAACCGTGTGACAAGCCACTCCATGAAATCAAATACGCTGGGAACACACGTGGAACCTTAGAAGTGCTGCTTTTTGCGAGGCTGGTGTTTGCCCCATGTATGGCACTCCGTGTGATCACAGACGTTGAGAACACACGTGGAAAACAACTGAGCTACTTTCCCCCCATCAACACTCCGCGCTCCCCCCTTTTTACTTATCCCTCCCAACAGAAGATGGCATTTGAGTGGGGTGCCCATTCCGCACTCAGGCCCTTCGCCCCTCTGGCTCCTTCCTTCTCGCCATTCTCCCCCTTGTTTGCTGGCTTGGCAGAAGACAGCGTTCGAGTGGGATCTTCCGCACATCCCCCACTCGGCCATGCCGAGGCTGCTTGCCGGGCCACCACTAACTTCCCTCTCCCTGTTCTCCTCCCCTCCTTTCCCCTGCCCCACTTTCTGTTGGCTTAAGCAGAAGACGGCGTTTGAGTGGGGTCTACCGCACATCCCCCACTCGGCCCATGCTGTGGCTGCTTGTCAGGCCACTGCCAACTTCTTTGTCAAGTGAGTCTTTTTAGTTCTTCTTCTCTCACTGTGTCTTCAGTAACTGCATGTGATATGTGTTTGAGTCCATGTCATAACATGCATGTGATATGTGTTTGAGTCCATGTCATAACATGCATGTGATATGTGTTTGAGTCCATGTCATAACATGCATGTGATATGTGTTTGAGTCCATGTCATAACATGCATCTGATGTGGGTTTGAGTCCATGTCATAACGTGCATGTGATACGTGTTTGAGTCCATGTCATAACGTGCACGGGATATGTGTTTGAGCCCGTGTCATAACATGCATGTGATATGTGTTTGAGTCCATGTCATAACATGCATGTGATATGTGTTTGAGTCGATGTCATAACATGCATGTGATATGTGTTTGTGTCCATGTCACAACATGCATGTGACTACTAGCGATGAGTGTTTCAACCCATGCCATGCATATGACTACAGTGAAGCCAGTCGCTCCATGCATCGGCCCATGACATGTGTGACTTATGCCATGTGTGGTGCGACGAAATGCGTAATGTTTTCCAACCCATGTCGTGCATGTGATTACATGCCATGTGTGTTTCAACCCATGTCGTGCGCGTGACTATGTGTGATGTGTGCTTCAACCCATGTCGTGCATATGACTATGTGCGATGTGTGTTTCAACCCACGTCGTGCATGTGATTATGTGCGATGTGTGACGACAGTGAGGCCCGTCGCTCCACGCATCGGCCCGAGTCAGAAGAGGAGATGGATGACATGCTCATCTACAATCATGCGCCGATATTCTCTGGCAAGAATGGGTGAGCATGGGTGGCAATGGGTGAGAATGGGTAAGGATGAGTGTGAGACACTGGGTGAAACTAGTGAAATGGATGAGTTGCTTATGTACAACTACGCGCCAATAGTCTCCGGCAAGAATGGGTGAGCGAATGGAAGCGAATGGGAGTGAAGAGTTAGAGATATAGAGCCAGTGGGTAAAAAACAGTGGATATGACGTGCCGATATTCTCTGGCAAGAATGTGAGAACGGGTGGGGGAGGGTTCGTCTAGAGACATTGGGTGAAAACAGGAGATGCAATGAGTTGCTCATCGTCAAATTCTATTATCCTAACTACTCACCATAGGCCACAAGTACCGTTGTGTTTTATATGACGTTCTGAAGTTTGGCCGAGTTGAAGCTTGACCGTCCGACTCGCCACGTCAGCGAAAGTTTGGCCAAACTTTGAGGCTTTGGTTGGCAAAAGTTGTGGTAGGTGAACGTTGGCCAACCCCTCCGCGAAAAAACTAGGCGACCAGACAGCGACATTTTGCGAACGGTCCCCCATCGCGCCAAATCAGATCGACAGGCGATCCGCAAAACGATATGCGAGAGAACACAATTTGGGTCGCAGAGGACTGCGACACCTGACGGCCAGCTTTCGGATAATTTTGGGAAAGCTGTCTTGCGAAAAAATCCAGCAAAACCCCACCAGAATGAAGAGTTAAATCTCGTGTGTCAAGCAATTCAACGGGAGGTGAGGTAGGTTGGTTGAGTAGAAAGACGGGATTGGCTGTCAGGCAGTACTCCTAGGGATCTTCCAACCAAAGATAGGAAGCTCGAGGCAGTTGGCACACGTGTTTTAAGACCATCGCCTTCTAGTTGGGGTGTTGATGGAGGCTTTGGTAAAGAAGAGTTGAGCATTCGCAGTTTGATGGTTGTTCGTGCGCCGGGCATGATTGTGCTGTTTTTGTGGCTTGGTCGACGTCACATTTCTTCGGTGTGGCTGGCCAAGTATCCAGAAACTAGGTTTCGCCCTTGGTCGCAGTTGTTCGTGGACCCCCGTTGCACAAATTCTGGCCGACAAGGTGTGGTTAGCTAAACTTCGAGCCGCGCGGCTAAACATTGCAATGTGCAAATCTGGCGTGGCGAGTCGGTTGCCCAAAGTTTCAAGGTCGGCCAAACTTCAGAACGCGGCCTTAGTGTTGGTTTTTCCCATTCTAGGCAATCTCATGTAGTTCCTTGATTCCTCAATTATACGCTATTTGTTGTGTCCCTTGTGTTAATGCCTACTTCTGAACACCCTCCTCAAACATTATCAACCACAGGAGGGGCTTCTTTGAGCAGTCGTATGTTTTCAAGGAGGTATCCAAGGCTGGTGTTGTATAGATTTTAGGAATTTTCAAGAGATGGCAAGTGTTACTATTGTGGAATGGATATGTTCAATCATGGGTAAGCTCCTGAAAGCCAAACCAGAAATAAGTGCCACACGTTATACGCACTGATCTAGCCAATGCTGAGCATATTTGAGAGTTGTGTTGTTCAACAATATCCAGTATGCATTGTGCTAGTGCAAGTGTTTCTCAATAATTACAGTTATTGACGATTTGGTTGGGCACCTCTGGCTGAAGAGTAGTACCGTTCGCTGCCCTTAGCATTTTCAAACCCACTGCAAGGCTGGTTTGCTGTGGTCGGTTGTTCGTTCCCAGCCCTTCATCGTCCGAGTCGCAGACCAACCATTCAAGTTGTGCGACGGCGTCTAGGCGGTCACGTAGGTTGCTCTGAGAGTCGCGCAACTCGTCGTCGTCCTCCTCCGTTCCAGAACGTGGATTCGCTTCGACTCCAGGCTTGGCAATTCCATTTCCATACCTGACCGCCAAAACCGAACGTCTCCTTCGCGACATGTTTCTCCGGTTCAGCTGACGTGGACGCATTCAAATGGAGGCTCCTCTCCTCTCCTCCAGCGCCACACATCAGCGAAAGGGTGCCGCGTTTCGTGAGCGCGGCTCGCTCCGGCAATTTGCCCAAGACCAAATCTGGAATGCACGAAATTGGCCCCACATTGACCCGCAGAAATTCAAAATTGCACACATGCGCCTGGAGGGGATTTCTCTAGACACTGGGTCCCGCATTTGGTTTCGGTTTGATCCCCCACGTAACACAGCCTCTCCTCACAGCCCCTGTGCCTGAACTGCAGTGCATGTCGGCAGCAGTACCTCTGCTCAGTCCAGCCCAGTCCGGATCCCCAATGTTTCCAAACCCCTCGCCTGCACGCTCCGTACGTCCCTTCATCCCTCGCTCTCTCCCATTCCCCCACCCCACCCTTGCCGTTCGAGTTCGCGTGATTGTAAGGTGTTGCACCGACATGTCTAGTCCCTCGCTTCGTATTCGATAGAGTGGATGCCGTCAGGCGTTCCATTTCTTCAGTGCGCGCGTGCTCTTAGGTGTGCTGTGCTTGGCCCACGCATACTGCCACCACTGCAGCGACAACCACCACCATCCAAAGGCCAGCATCCTTTCATAAATCCAACAAGAGAAAAGGCACTCTGATAAGGCCAGAGTTAGATATCACAAGACCGTTTCGGGGTGGCTTAGCGCATATCTCGTTCCATCCGTCCGCATTGGGTAGCAAACCCTACCAGTTTCCTAGTCTCGCCTACTGCGCCTTGTGCGTCTACTGCTCCTGACTAACTCCGTTCGGAATAGTATCTTTCCCACGCCTCCTAGTGACTGTCCGTCCGTCCCCCCCTCGTCCCCCGCGATGAGGCTGCAGCTCCAGCCGCTGCTGCTGCTGCTCCTCGCTCTAGCTCTCACCCGCCATAATTTGCACGCCGAGTGCCATTCCCTAACCGCCAATGGCGGCGAAACCAGCGCTGGTGCCACCCAGAGCGATCAACACGGGGACAGCGTGACCGGTGGTGGCGGCGCCGCTCCCGGCCGCGTGTTGCAGGATGCGGAGATGCCGTCCCTTGCGGCGGCGGTCGCTGCGGCGGCGGAGGGGAAGAATGCTTCCGCCCTCGACCTGCTCTTGCGCCGACAGCTCAAGTGCGTTCCTCTCCCTTTTAGCCCTATGATGCGTGACCTACAACGCGTGACCTATGACGCGTGACTGTGCGTAGCATGGCAACATGTTTTCTAACAAGAACAATCTGAATGTCGTATGCTTCGTCTCTAAACGAAACGCCAAACTTCTCCTCCACTCCCATCCTTCCCCATCCTTCGCATCCTTCCGCATCCTTCCCCATCCTTCCCCATCCTTCCGCATCCTTCCGCATCCTTCCGCATCCTTCCGCATCCTTCCCCCATCCTTCCCCATCCTTCCCCATCCGTTCTCCCGCGCAGGGCTCGCAAGGAGGACCCCGTTTTAAGCATGCTCGCTAACGCGTGGCACAACATGCTGATCGCGCAGTACTGGGCGCGCAAGACGTCGTGCAGCGCCAAGCTGACCGCCGCGTGCAAGGCGCTGCAGAGCGCGGAGGCGTACCTCAAGGCTAAGAGGGGCGCGGAGGCTACTGCGCAGATGAAGAACGCCAAGGCCACCTCTAGTGTGAGTCCGCCCTTCCCACTTGATTCAGCGATTCTTTTTTCTGCCAGCTTGGCACTTCTATTTCCCCCACCCTCCTCCCTTCCCTCCCTTCCTCATCCCCTTCGCCCCAACCCCCCCTTCTCCTCCCTCCCCACTGCCTCCGCCCTTCTTTCCTCCGTCTCCCTTTCCCCCGCTCCCCGGCCCCCAATCCCCGCCTCCCAATCTCGTGTTTCCTCTGCTGGCTATTATCTCCCGCAGCATCGCTCCCCCTTCCTGCTAAACCTTTCCTGGCTGCTCTTACTCGATTGCTTCTATCTCCCCCCCCTCTTACGCGTCGTAGCATTTCCACGTCTTACTTTCCTACCCATTGTTTCTGTTTCGTTGCGACTTTCCCTCTTCGTCCAGGGTTGTGTCAACAGCGTACCCGCCCAGTCGAGCAAGTACATTCGCCTCGCCAAGGACCAGATCGGGCAGACGCAAATTCTCATGGCGAAAAAAAACCCCTCGGTCAAGAAAGTCAAGAAGCGGAACCCGCAGGTCAAGCGCAACACCGGGCCGGGGTGGCTCGGACACAACGACCTCCCCGGGGGCATCATGCAGTGGTTACCGTATGGTAACCCGATCGACGACTGCTGGATGGGTGGTAACTGGAACAATAACATCAAGAAGCTCGCGGATTGCGTAGAGGGGTATGCGACGGGAACAACTGGTGGAAAGGCGGGGCAGATTTACCATGTGACTAGAGCGGATGATAACCGCGTGAGCCCGAGTCCCGGCACCCTTCGATATGGTATCACCAGGGTAAGAACACTTTCGATAGCATTCACCCCTCTGCTCCGAGACGGAATTTCTTTTGTCGACGGGCCCCTGATTCCTTCCATCTTTCCGCCGTTGATCGCAGGCTGAGCCGCTGTGGATCGTTTTCGACGACGATTTCACATTTACCGGTCTGGATGCGGAAATGATTATTTACAAGGATAAGACGATCGACGCACGTGGGAAAAAGATCGTGGTGGGCAACGGTCCCTGTTTCGCGGTCGAAGAGTCGTCGAACGTGATTATTCACGGAATCTCTTTTGTGAACTGCAAAAACCGGGTGTAAGTTTCCCAAGAAAAGCCGACATCCGGGTAGACTGTGCTCTGAGTATTTACGAATTGAGTATTTCGCTTCCCTATGGTGCTCTTATGCGTTTTGGCTACTTTCGGCTCACCCGTGCTCGTATTGTTTGTGTTTCAGTGGCAACATTAAAATAGCAACTGGGCCTGGGAATACCATCGATGGTCGCGACTACCTGAACGGATACGGGGTGTACATTTACAAATCCCACCACGTTTGGATCGACCACTGCTCTTTCAACTACGCGGACGACACCCATATTGACATCATCGAGGGGAGCACTGCCGTCACTGTATCGAACTCCTACTTCACCAACCAGGATAAGGTACGGAAACATTGCTTCAGAGGTTGGGAGTAGGAACAGAGGGGTCCGCTGGGCGTTTTAGGGGGAAGGGGGAGGGGAGGGGGCGCATCAGAGAGGGGTCGGATTGGGTTTGGCGCAAGGGAGGGATGACGAAAGCTGTATTTTCCAACTTCAATTATCTAGCGGTTATGCTTCTTCCCTGCCCTACGCCCCGAATCGTCTTCAACTAAATCACCTTCCCCCTCTTTTCTGCCTTCCCCCTCTCCCCAACCCCCCACCCCCCCTTCCCCCCCCTCCGCCCGCCTCCCCCCCTCAGGTGATTCTGATGGGTCACAACGATGCCAACTCGATGGACAAGAGCATGCGCGTGACCGTCATGCTCAACAAGTTCGGCCCGAACCTGGACGAGCGCATGCCACGTGGCAGGTTCGGGATCTTCCACGTGCTGAACAACTACTACCCGAACGGGTGGGGAATCTACGCCATTGGCGGCAGCGCTGACCCCACCTTCCTCAGCGAAGGGAACTACTTCGTTGCTAGTGGTGGAAATAAGGAGGTAAGCTGGTTCTGGTTTTGGTTAGCTGGCATGCGTGATGGAGTTTCTACCTTGTTATGCAGAATACGCTCTTCCGCTTTCCCTCTTCCGCTTCCTCTTCCCCTGCCAGCTCCCCTCACGCTTTCTCCCCTCCCCCCTCCGTGTCCGCCTCTGCTTTCTTTTCGTGCTCCCTTTTTGCGGAATGGCAGGTGACCAAGCACGACATTGCTGCAAGCAAGAGCGTCTGGAGCGGGTGGGACTGGCAGTCGGTGGGAGATTACTTCTCGGGTGGAGCCTTCTTCACAGAATCCGGAAGTTCCGGGTACAGGCCCACGTATTCATACCGTGCCCTGAATGCTCTGGAGGTTCCTAGAGCAACCAACCGTGCAGGGCCAATCGGGTTCTGAGCACGACCTGTTACTTGGCGGCTAAGCTTGTCGACTAGAAGATTAGCTGCATATGTAGGAATGGCACCCACACTTCCTTGCTTTTCTAGGATTAGACAGTTAGACTGTAAAGGCGCTATCCAGGAAGTACCAGCTAACATTTATTTTCAGAAGTGATACATGTCATAGGAATTTTATCCATACTAAAATGTTGAAACGTGTATGACGACATTCTCTTTCAACAGTAATTTTGAACATCCTCCTATCTTTATTCATGGAGCCTGGGACAGTGCAGAATTTTCAACCTTGCTGAATTGTTCTCCTTTTCCCATCATTGTGATCTTGAGCTTCCGATACATAATCATCTCGATGTTGGTGCTGCAATACTAACTTAAAGCATGTGTATACATGCACAAATAAAAAACGTGAGGATGCCAAGGAGACTGCGCAGCAGCAGCAGAACGGCATGGCAGCAACCACACTCAGCAACACTTTGTACATTAGTCACTGACTATTGCTACATTTCCACAGCTTGGGGTGGAGGAAACGGAGGTGCTAGAACGCTTGTTTGCTCAAGCATGCTGTCTGCATCCCAGAGGAAAGCCGCATGAGCTGCGAGGACGTAGCTGCAAGGAAAGGAAAAACATGATTAGGATGTTGGCTGTGGGTTCTCCACTGCTCAAGTTTTGCAGCAATGCGTTGCGCTTACCAGTTGTCTGGAGAGACTTCGACTGCCTGCTGAAACATCAATGACGCTTTCTCAGCATCACACATCCCTTCCCAGAGAAACTTGGCATATAGCACCAGAAGTTCGCCATCAGCAGGTGCCACTTGAACGGCCTTCTGGAAAACAGCATCTGCTGCAAAATAATCCCCTTTCACCTGCAATACAGGGAAAGAAAAATGGTACGTCAGTCTCCATTACAGGGGCTCATGGCAAAGAGTCTTAATGTGTTAGAGAGTATCAACTCAGGCGTACCTCATAGAGGAACTTGGCATAGTTTCGGAGAAAGAGGGCATTTTCTGGGTCCTCCTCAAGGATGCTCGGTACAAGTCATCCATTTCTTGCACTTTGTGCTCCTCTTCAGGCGAACCGCCGAGATGATGCCGTGGCAACATCGGCTTGCTGCAGAAGCACACTGAGCCAACCTCACACTCTGCAGACCGAAGAGGATACGCAGGTGGTTGCTGGGGATATACAGCCGAGCCTCCCTCAGGTGCTGTCCGGTTGGAGTCCATCCATTCGCTGGGTCGATACTCAGCGTCATCGGTCCAAATGGGTCGGCATCCATGAGCGTTGCACGCGACTGTCATACCGCCGGGTCCGTGAGCAATCATGGTGTAAACCTCTCCATCCACACGCTCCGAAACGGATGACGGCCGTTCGTTACGTCCCATCGGATGGACAGGAAAGTCCGACGCATTGTCAGGTGCCATAGCCGATGCACTGTCATGATAATTCATGGACCCCAGCCACGGCTCGCCGGAGCGAGTGTCACCAGGGAAGAAACTCGGAAATAGGAATCCTGGAGTCCCCATGGTGTATACGGAGGTTGGCGCGACGAACACAAGTGGAGTCGACGACGACAGGTCTGGCTCGGGATAAACCGCCATTGAAGTTGCATCCTCAAAATCGGCTCCCAAATCTGGCCTTCCCCAGTGCATCGTGTTATCCGCTGCAGCTCCTGAATGAGAAACCTCGTTAATCACTGTCCCGCTTGATGCGTCCTCCTGATGGTTCGCGGTGGTGGCTCCAAACCCAGGCGGCGGAGTTGACAGGCTGCTAAAACTTGAAAATGTTAAGCCGGGTGTCGACAGCATGGGCGACAGCATATCATCTTCACCCACTGAGGACGGTACTGATTTAGGGAGATCCATTTCCGACACTGTCCGGTATCGTAGCCGTTGCTGACCTCCATGATGTCTAATTTCTCTCACCGGCGACTCCCGCTTACGGATCTGCGACCCTTGGGACACGGAGAACGACGACGATTGCACTGGAGACGGAGTCGAAGGCCAAGTCCCATGCGAAGCTGACGCGGAGAAGAAGCCGCTTTCATGATGGGATGATGGGTCCAGGGACATCGATGCTGATGGAGAACGATGGAATCCTGCAGTACTAGAACGCGGGCTGAAAGCTTTGGGAGAGGTATAACTCCTGTTGATCTGACAGCTAGACGGCTTCCCCCGACTTCTCGCGTCAGCGTCGGAGATAGCAGGCAAAACAGGAGCCGAAACGCTTCTTGCTAGAATTGCGTCGGCCATGGATACAAAGCCCTTGGTCTCGGATGCTCCACTAAAAATCCGGAAGTAGGAAAATCGTATGGAGTATCCGCAGGACTCTTCCGAGGGAAACGAGCTGTTCTGCAGAGGAAAAATTAGCGCTGCCGACCGATTCGTCCACAAAGCCTTCTACCTGCCGTCTGGGCAGACGAGGTATATACGCCTACAAAATCCTTCGAGCTGGAATGAAACTGCCACGCTGAGAAGGAATAATATTGGAGGAATCTTGAGAGTGCAAGGCGTGGTTGAGCTATGTCTAGTCGTCGCGGCAGACGCGCGTTCACTTTTCAAGAAAATACCACCACCATTCGTCTTCCGCCATTTGCCTTCCACCTCCACCATTTGTCTTGGAGTGCTGTTGCTCCGGTGCTGCTGAGAGGCTAGTGATAACCGCCATTGCCATGCGATAGCATGCTATGACAATGACATGCCCTTCATTCACAGCACCGCATTGGTTCCTCCGCGCCCTTGATTCATTGGGGGAAATGTTCCAAATATTCCACCCTTCCCCGCCTCCCGAAACTCCTATCACCCATACCCCCGCCCCCTATTATTTTCCCCCGAACGGCAACATTTGCCCTTACCAAATCCGAGCCACCTTTGACCGGCTCATCCAGCCGTTCATTTCACTCATGACCACCTGCATCGACGTCACTCGTTCAGTCGTTCCTCCCGAAGCAGCCCTCACCACATTCTCTGCCCGTGAGCAGTCTGTCACAGACCATCGTCTGCCCTAGTTGCTGTCTGTGGGCAGAGCAGCAGAATTCTGTTGGGGCAACCCGAAGCCAAAATGAACTCCTGAATTTCGGGCCACCACAACCACACGTGGGGGAACCATTCGCAGGGGGGCTGAAGTTCTCCGCTCGGTGCTGGAGGATGAGGGAACAGCCGGGCAAAGTTGCCGATCACATACACTTATTCTCCGTTAATTTTAAACCCTGAAACTGAACGGCAAACCTTTTTTGGTTTCCACCCTGATCATTTCTGAGTGCGCAGAGAGTATCCCCTTGTACCTACGGCATAAGCTTGGCTGACCCCACGCGGGCAAAAACTTTGAGCACTGCCTAAAGCTGACGTCGGGTTTCCTGACTCGAGAAATACTAAATCGAGCAGTAAACGTTTTGTATAGCAATCCAACTTCAAATTGTTTTTCAAGGGTATCCGTATCTGATCTTCAGGAGCTGCTTTCGGGGGGTAAATACCCTCTTGGCGGCACACCCTGTGAAAATACTGGGTATAAAAATACCGCAAGATAAGTGTACGGCTCCTCCCCACCCCACCCCAGCCCCTCGGGGGGAGCGGAGATCCCTAGAAGTTGGCGTAGAGAGGAGACTCGATGCGGGGAGCGATGACAGCGTGGCGGACAGCGTTGGCGGATTGGAAGGAAAAAGGAATTTCAGTCACCAATAGAAGATTGCCTTTTGCGGGGTCCATGGAGTGAGCTCAGCAAGTTGATCCAAAATGACCCTGGTCAAAGCACGAAAGTGAAGGAAAGCGAGCCATGCCTGCTGAGCTGGTGATATCTGGTTCGCTGGGTTTTATTGCCCCTTTCCATGCCCGCTGCGGGGATTGAGCGGGCGGAATCCTCATGCCCCCGCGCGTCCGGAGATCCGCAAGTCCCTAAGGGCTTCGATGCCACAAAGATGTTCAACCAATTGCGCTGGGTGTTGTACAGTGTGTGGCAGCGAGTCCCGTTTTTCCGGGCTTTTGGGAGTCTGAGCTGGAAGTTGCACGCCTGTGTTGCAGTGACCATCGAGCACCTGCCCTGCCCAACAGTGCAGTTCAGTTGCAATCGCAATGATCACTTCACGTGACCAACAGTCAGAAAGCAGCATGACGACTGCAGGAAAATCAAATCGTTCGCGTTACAATACTGGTTCTGGGCCTCTATAGTCAGACTGCATATTACATGGATCTCAGATACTTCTAGATCAATAGTGCACGTTCTTAATGGAGACATCATAACTATCGTAAGAAACGAGCTTCATTTGTGAAGGAGTCCCTCATGGCGTCAAATAAATAAAAGGACTCACGCCATTGCCTCTTGGACAATCCAGGAGCGCTCACCTACATTGGGGTGAAGCAAGGGTAAAATATGAAGTGGAACAACACGAACACAGCCCAACGGCAGTAACCTCTTCACATGCATTTTAGATCTTACCTGAAATATGTAAATCTGGCTGTCAGAGACATAAGCAGACAGAAGAGCCGATGGCGACGTCAGTTCATAGTGATAGTACGCCGTGCCAGATGGCTGCTCCTGAATGGATGCATTCATCACACGGGATGGCTGATCTGGCGGGCCGAAAATCCCGATCACATCGTCCAGGTCACCAATCTCTTCAATGCTTGCCTTGTCAGCGTTGCCTGAGAGGGTGTTTTTTTCAAGGCACAACAGAATTGGAGAATCGGGCAAAAGTACGGCCTTATTCAAACACCCAGCACAGGCTTCCGACTGCCTTACTGGACCAAACAAAGAAGAGCACAAAAGGAGAATCATGATTCAAATAGAGCTCTCCCCTCCCTCCCCCCCAACACAACTACCAATAGCCTCAACACCTCCTCATCGCACTCACCCCCCGGTGCATCCATTCCCAAAACTCCATTGAGCCATTGGGAAAACACACATGAGACACATTGAGACGAATAGGCAAGTCAGCCATGGCTTCATCTTCCAAAGAAAAGGTGAAAAAAAAAGTAAGGAACATAACTCACCCACAGGCAGCACAAAAACATCCGCATACCCCACTGTTCCTGCTCCTGCCATGATTTTTGTTTTGAGGCGCATCAAAACTACACTCGCTTACCCTCCCATAGATCCTGCTGCTGCCGCTGTGCCATTCCCCGGGCCCGAAGGAACCACCCGCACGAAAGCCACGCGAACAACAACTCACCTGAGTGCAGGAAGGGCTCGAGACTCACCCACAGGCAGCACAAACACATCCACAATGCTCGAGTGCACTCCCGCTGCGCCTGCTCCTGCTCCTACCCCCCTTGCTACTGCTCCGTTCGAGGGAACCATGGGCGAGACGAAGCGCGTGTCAAGGCCATAGAACTTGGCGTTGCTGAGGCTCGCTGGGGCGGGCTGCCAGCCAGCCATGCCATGAGGGCGACCCACCCACTTGCAGGCCACGGCAGCAACACCTCACCTGAGTGCAGAAAGGGCTCGAGACTCACCCACAGGCAGCACAAACACATCCACAATGCCCGAGTGCACTCCCGCTGCTCCTGCTCCTGCTCCTACCCCCCCTGCCACTACCCACCCACTTGCAAGCCACGGGAACAACAGCTCACCAGAGTGCAGGAAGGGCTTGAGACTCACCCACAGGAAAGGATAAACACATCCCCGACGCTCAAGTGCAATCCCGCTGCTCCTGCTCCGTTCCCCCGCTTCAAGGGAACCAACCACGCGAAAGCCACGGGAACAACAACTCATCTGAGTGCAGGAAGGGCTTGAGTTGAGACTCACCCACTGGGAAGGACAAACACATCCCTCACGCTCGAATGCACTCCCCCTCTCCTCCCCCCACCCCCCGCTCCCTCCGCCTGCTTCACCCTCCATGGAAAAACACTGGAGGATAAGACAGGGAACTCACCCACAGGCAGCACAAACACATCCACTATGCTCGAGTGCGAAGCGTGCTCACCCTTCCCCTTGCCCTCCCCCTCCTCCTCCCTCTCCTTCCCCCCACCCCCATCCCCCCCCCCTCCGCCTGCTTCACCCTCCATGGAAAAACGCTGGAGGATAAGACAGGGAACTCACCCACAGGCAGCACAAACACATCCACGATGCTCGAGTGCACTCCCGCTGCTCCTGCTGCCCCCCCCCCTGCTCCGTTCCCCGGCCCGGAGGGGACCACCACGGGCGACACGAAGCGCGTGTCAAGGCCATAGAGCTTGGCGTCGTTGAGGCTCACTGGGACGGGCTTCCAGCCGCGGGGGATGAGGAAGGAGTACGGGTTGGTGGCGCGCTCCGTGCCGTCCGGCTTGTAGTAGCGCCGAAAAATGCCATCCTCCCCTGCTGCTGCGCTCGTGCTGCTGGTGCTGCTGGTGCTTGTTGCGCTTTGATCTGTGGGTAGAAGGGGAAGAGAAGGGAGAAGGGAAACATGGCTTGGGGTCACCCGGGAGAGCTTGGAGTGGTTGTGGCTCACTGGGGCTGCCAGCCGCGAGAGATGAGGAAGGAGTAGGGAGGGTTGGTGGCGCGCTCCGTGCCGCCCCGCTTGTAATAGCGCCGAAAGATGCAGTCCTCTCCTGCTGCGGTACTCGTGGTGGTGCTGCTGCTGCCGCTGGTGCTGGTGCTTGGGTCTGCGGGTAGAGGGGAAGGACAGGAGGGGATGAGGGAAAGAGCGCGTGAAAAAGGCCAAAGAGCTCGTTGAGGCCAAAGAGCTCGTTGAGGCCAAAGAGCTCGTTGAGGCTGATGGGACGAGCTTCCAGCCGCGGGGAATGAGGTAGGAGTACGGGTTGGTGGCGCGCTCCGTGCCGTTCGGCTTGTAGAAACGCCAAAAAATGCTGTCTTTGCTGGCTGCTGTGCTGCTTGTGGTGCTACTGCTGTTGCCGGCGCTGGTGCTGGTGCTGCTCTGATCTGTGGGTAGTGGGGAAGGGAAGGGGGAAGGGGGAAGTGGGTAGCGGGAAGGGGAGGGGGAAGGGGGAAGTGGGTAGGGGGAAGGGGAGGGGGAAGGGGGAAGTGGGTAGGGGGAAGGGACACAGGGTTCGTTGCACACTTCCTGCCGTGGGGCTTGACGAAACGCACGGGTCCCACCCAGTACGTGACTCGCACAAGAGGGGCCCATTTTGGGCGCGACTCAAAAAGCGAAGGCGCGTGGATCCCAGTGAGTGATCTGATCAGCATGAATCACTATTATAAAACGCCAGCGCAGCATTAAGGAATCCACTTGCCAGTCGGAGCGTCACGGAATCCCGCTTAAGCGGTAATTAGAGACAGCACGAGACGAGACGTCTGATCGATCCGCCAATTGATAAATGGAACTTCGGAAGGAGGCAATCAACTGAAGCAACGTACTTCGGATACCAGGCGACTATTGTGCGACAGCAGGCGACGCAACCGTCGCACCTGGCTCTTGTGCGACAGCAGGCGACCCGATCGTCCATCCAGGCAGCGCCACTGAAGCAGCAGCAAGCACTAGAGCCAAGGCCGATCGCCGAGGCACAACCAGCACCTCCTTTCCGCCTTCCAGCTGCGCTCCTCCCTCGTCCGTCCACTGGTCGTGCTGAAGCTCTTGCTCAAGAACCACATAGCACTCGCGCTCAGATGCTACTTCTCTTAACGACCCACGTGGCTGCTCCTTCCTTTCAAGCGTTGCTGAAGCTGAATGGACCACGCGGTGCGAAGAATTCAACCATCTGCGACGCGACGCATTGTCGCTGTTCAACTGCGAGTTGTCTACGCGAAAACCTTCGCGAAACCGTGTGCGAAACGCGGAGGGAGGCAGGGTTACGCTGTCCTGATGCGAAGTGTTGCGAAGGCTTGGTCTTCGCGAAGGATGGGAGGAAGAACGAGTGGCAGCACCGACGGCTGGTGCGCCGCAAGTGACGGCAGCAACGGCAGCCATAAGTGGGAATCTGGAGAATGTTTGAAAAAACCTGCCTGATGGTGATAAGGTTCACACACCCGATATACGCGATGAGGGGATAACACGACTAGGGTATCGAATAGGAGCTAAAGAGGAACAATTGTTTGGGCAAAACAAGAAACATAACACGTCACCCCATGAGGAAGATAACCCACCCTTTCAGCTGTTGTATGTATGTAATAGTAGCGCAACTACTAGAACAATCCTGCTTTCTTCTAGCGTGTCTTAGTGACAATTAAGAATAATAACACCAGTAATAGTAAATACAGGAGCAACATAACCAATGAATGAACGAATACAAATGAGCAAGCTAAGCGATAGACTACTATACACTATTAGACAAAACGCCTACCATTTACCGTACGTATGGCAAATGTGCATATCCACACTGATTTGGTGCCATGGAGCTAATTCAATTACTTACCTCTTCGCTCCCTACAAAATGATCTCCATATTGACACTCCACTTAGTGACACTGATTTCAAATTGTGCAAGGAACCCCACCCCGCCACCCCCCTTGCAGCCATTTTGTTTTCCGTCAACTGCGAATGGCAACATCAATCTGTCACAGGGCTGTTGCCATTCAAAGGCTAGGTTGGGTTGCCATTCAGGGGTCCTCCCTGGACCCTGATTGCCATACAAAGACTGGGCTGCCACTCAGCGTCTGCTTTGCCATTCAGTGGCTCGGCCCAGTTGCCTGCCTTGGCCAGGCCCGCCCCACCTTCCCCAGCTTCCCCCTTCAGCCACCAGGACGCTGCAAGTTAGCCTCCCAAGTAGGTGGTGCGCGCTTCAGACTCCTCGTTAGGCCAAGAGGCCTGCCACCTGGGACGTCTGCCACTTGCATGTCGGGGGCTCCAGGCGTGCATGCTCCTGCAGCTGCAGAGGCCCCACCATGCCACTTGCCATCTCGCTGTGGTGTGTTTCACCAGCCAAAATACAGTTTGTCGTCGAAGCACATCGTGTATCAGGCCGAGTAGAAGACAGTGGAGTTCTTCCAGGTGTTTGCCAGGGCTGCCAGACACGTCTGCTCACGCCATCCAGGCCTTGATCCCCCACTTGCCACCCCGTGCTGGGATCAGCAGCCGGCGCGCAGGTTGTCGTCGAAGCACGTCTTATAGCAGACTGAGTAGAAGACAGCGGCGTTCTTCTGGACGTTGCCTAGGCTGCTCCTGTTGCCCAGTTCGAGAGCACGTAGTCCGTGCTGGTCAGACATCAGTAGCAGCCGGCGCGCAGGTTGTCGTCGTAGCAGGACTTGTAGCACGTTGAGTAGAAGACAGTGGCGTTCTTCCAGGTGTTGCCCGTGCCAAGGTTGTAGGTGTACGTCGACGCCGATAGCTTGCACATGTACGTGCACGTGTACTGTAGAAAGTGGGGAATGTACATTGCAGAAATGTGGTGATGAACGAATGAGTTACATTGGTTATGTGCAATATGTATTAGACAAACTGCAGGTGAATGACAGGAAGGAAAGACAAGAGATTTGAACTAGAAATATACGAATCATGGGGGGTTGAGGTGGGGAGGATGGAGGAGAAACAGAAAAACGAGAGACAACGATTTAACTGGCAGCATGGACACTGCGTGTCAAACATTTGCAGCATTGCAAGCATTCGCAGAGAAGACCAGAGGAGACGATTTACCTGCAAGCATTCACACTGCGTGTCGAAAACCCACGGGCAGTAGTCAAAATATTCTGGGGGCAGCTTCCAAGTTGGGTAGGGGCAGACTCCGGGCGGCGCCACGCAGCTGTTCTTCGGCGGCTTCTGCCCCATTTTCTTGTAACAAAGCGCTTCGTTACACAGGTTGCAAACGTCGTAACGCACGATGGGGAGCGCAAAATTGTTGACCGCATCGCACATTGAGGCATAGGTCACTCCGTCGAAGCCGCACACAGGAAGGGAAGACGCACAGATGTTGCTTCCCACCCTTTTCTTGCACGGGATCAGCAGCATTTGGCCCTCGATAATCGACTGATCGGTGCAGTCTGCAAGCGAATTCGATTCGCAGATCGAGAACGGGTACGTGTTGTTCGGGCATCGGGTGGAAAAGTCGGCTGAGATTGAAGCGAGGGTGTCATTGGCTTGAACGGTGTATGGGACTTCGTTGGGGGAGAGGGTGATTTTCTGGATGTTGGTGGTTGTGCCGGCGACGCAGACGGGTTGACCGATTTGGAAGTAGGGAGCGTAACACTGCAGTGGAATGGAGGGAGGGTACGGGAATGGGGAAAGATGAGGGAAGGGGAAGGAAAGGTAGCTCCCAAAATCAGTTTAATATAGATAGTTAGCTAAAGTGAAGGGAATACAGCTTCTTACCCTGAGACCGGGGTTGAGCCGAAGGAATCTTGTCACTGGCAGTTGCACCGCATTTGCAATTTTGGGGCAGGTATCGCCCTGCGAAACTGTGTACCACTGGGTACAGTTCACAGTCATGAGTTCCGTTGATAGCGAGGACACGCACACCGCGAGCGCCACCCCGAGCGGATCGTCGGTACACTTGAGCCCAGGATTCAGCCACAGGAAATCGTTCAGCGAAATGTTGTAGCCTCTCGCGATATCCACGCATCTTTCGCTCGGCGACGCGTCGTAAACCCTTCCGCAGGAGCGAATCAGGGGCGAATTCGACGAAATGCGACCTGGCGCGGTGCAGAATGTAAGCGAACGCGGGAGTGGTCCAGAGCAATTCAGCGTCGGGTTGATCGCAACAAGCTGGCGATAAGAAATGCCGTTCCGCGACACGATTGACGAGCAGGTGTCGTTGGGTCCGACTATATCCATAGCGGAGCATCCCCAAGTGAAGTTCGCGGTGTCAGCGACGAGAAGAACGTAATCGGCGACTAGCGGGAAGTCGCAGTCTAGGAACGGGTTTCGCTGGACAAGGAAATCGACGGAGAAGCCGAACGTGTCGGCGATGGTTTGGCAGGTGTCGCCTGTCATCACGGTGTAGGTTTGGAGGCCGGACTGGAACGAGCCTACGATGCAGGTCATGGCACGGTCGGTTCGGGAACCAATCACGGAGCCCTGGAAAGGAGCAGGAGAGCAGCGGAGAAGGGGAAGGGTAGGATAAGGAGATCTATCGAGTGAGAGGGGAGAGGGAAGGAACCACAACGCAATGATACGAGAAGAAGCCGAAGTGCGAAGGGGTAAAGAATGAGAGTCTATGAGGATAAGGAACGAGAATGAAAGAACGAGTTGCGAGGAGGTGAAAGGAGGACAGCTTACCGCAGGGCAGGAGCAGGTGTAGGTGCCGTCGAACTCGTTATTGCACGTCCCGACACCACAAGGATTCGGATTGGCGTCGCATGGTGTAGCCGTAACACACTTGGGCGCACTTTCCTCCAACCGCTCGACGAAACCCGGAGGGCAGTTACATCTCGCCATGCCACCTCGCACTTCGCACACGCCCCCACCGCAAGGGCTCGGCGTGACAACGTCGCACGCCTTGCTGTTCTTCTCGTAAAAGACGGGGTAAATCGCGTTTTCGCTCATTACGTTACACTTGCCGTTCCCGTCTGGTAACATCCTCAAGCGCATGTAACCGTGTTCACCCCAGTTCGTTCCCCACGTGTTCTTCAAAATCCAATACGAATTGTCGGGGTCGGTTACGTTGTAACCAGCAAGAAGCATCGCATGGTCGATGTCGCCGCTGCAGTTGCTGTTGAAAATGCCTCCAGAGTAGCTCTAGAGAATAGCAACAGGTTGGTGGAGAAGAAAATGGGACGGAAAAAAAAGAGAGGAGGTTTAGGAGCGCATCGAGAAGGAGTCATGGAAACGTAGCGCAGGGACGGAACCGAGTTAGAAACGGGATGCATCGTCGTTACATTGGGCGTGTGGCGTGCTGCACACGGTGTGCTTACAATAAAGTCGTTCGTGCCCGAAGCGAGGTACACGAGCACGGGCTGCTGCGCGACGGCCTTCATCAGTGCCTTGTTGCTGCGCACCGGCACCTTCTCCCACCCCGTCATCTGCGCATCATGGCACCAGGCAAACGAAAACGGGAGCGACAAGAGGGGAGAGAGGAGAGAGGAGGTTGGAGCTCGCGGAAAGTTTTAGTAGCCTCGCTCAAGAGGGGGAGGGGGAGGAAGGGCTGCTGCTTGTAGCGAAACGCGGAAAACAAGGCGAGGGGGAGGGGGAGTCGCGATGTTAAGCACCTTGGCTTTCAGCGTCGCTTGGGCGATGTTGCGACACGTAGAGTTGTCTCGCGCAAGATAGGGATAATCCGCGTTTGTAGCGAGTCCGCCATTGGCGAGGATGAACTGGAACCCCCACTCCGGCCACCCGCCCTGGCAGCACTGCCCCGCCGCGCAGTCGCACACGTGCTGCGGCGACAGCGGCTGCGCCGTCTGGTTATTCACCAGCGCCCACACGACGCTAACGATATCCGTCGACGCTAACGCCCAGCAGCTCTCGCAGAGCATCTGATTCAGCACCGGAGTCATCACGATCGTCTGTCTCCAGTCTACTTCGTCCGGGTGTGCGACGCTCTGCCAGCGGTACCACGTCATGTTAATGTCGCCCGCGCTCGGCGCGGAGTTCAAACCCGGCGCTTGAAGGGCCTGCGGGGCCGCGTTGTTTGGCAACCCGTCGAGGGTGACGCGTCTCGGACGGCTCCGCATTTCGCGGCCGAAGTCTAGAAGTTTCCGCGACATCTCTCCGGTCATGGTTCTCCAGCCTCGGGAGGAGGGTGCGACCCGCCTTGGCTGCTGTCGCAGCTGGCGACCGTTTGCGTCGGCGTCGCCCTGAATCGCCTGCGACTCAGGCGACTGCGACACGTCATTGTCCTGACGTTTGGTAAGCAACGCTCCCTGTGTCCGCATGAAAACCTCGAACGCGCTCGGCTGGATGGGGAAAGACGGCTGCGCGTCGCCGTCCGCCGCAGTAACGGACACTTTCAGGGTCAGGAGCAAAAGAAGCGGAGCGACTAATCTCAAGTACTCCATTTTTCCTTTCAGATTTGGCTTGTTCATGATATCAGGGAAAGCGAGTTCAGTAGGCTAGACGGAAGGAAAAAAATTAAGGCGAAGGCACGAAGTCTTAGAAAATGCTTCTGCTAAAAGACTCGATAAATGCTAGGTGTGAAGGCTGGCAAAGCTAGCAGCTAGAAGACTTGATAAGTGCTACCCCTCAGCTTTGCCCTCGTCTCTGCAATGGTGTCTAGAAAGTGTCTGATGTGGATCCAGCTTTCTCGAAACTGTTGATGTTGCAGGAGAGGCTCTTTTGAACAACCTGTCGAGGCTGTCTTGCCTGTCTCGTCCCTGGAACGGCAGAATTCATGGGAGAGGAAGTTGTGTGTGTTTGCATTGCAAACTGGACGGGATCACGTGTCGGATTCTCCCTGACAACAGGCTTTTCTCCAGCCTTCCTCGCGTGCTGTCGTGTCGTCCCGTCTTGGCCAGACCAAAACATCAGCTGCTCTCCCTTCCTTCCCGCACACAATGCTTGCCTTGATTGTTCCCTTTTTCCCCCCCTTCCCTCCCCCCCACTCCCCCCCCCCCTTCCCCCCCCCCCTCCCCCCCCCCGTCTGAAATGTGTGTGTGTGTGTGTGCGCGTGGCTTGGTGCAGCAGCAAAGCAGCACTTCGCTGCCGAAGGGTAGGCGGGGGGCCAATCGCCTGTGGGGAAATTGGTTGTTTGTGCCAATGTGGGTCCTTGGCAATGTTCTACGCGGCGCGCGTCGTCCGAGTCGCAGGTGGGTGAGCAAATGCTGTCACCCCTGGTTCGTGGTGGTTAGCTGAGGCCAATCTCGAACTACTTGCAGTTGGTTCTGGTACCTCGCGTGTCTGTTCCATTTCTGAAAACTAGTTTCGGTCTTGCTTCCAGTTTTACCGCTTTCAAATTGCAATAAAGTTGGAACTTCGTACAATTTCACCCTGTATGAAGGTAGACCATTCTGAAAAAAGAAAAAGAAAAAGAAAAAGAAAAAACTTCGCTGCCCAGAAGGAGAAACGAGATGCCCATCTGATTTGGGCATTTCCTTCTGTTTGTTGCGAGGAGAAGACAGCTTGATGGGCAGGATTTGTTGGGGGGAGACACCTCGCCGCAACGGCAACGACATGTGATCACGGGAGATCCTTCGGGGAAGACAGTGGGGGCTGGGCCAGATCTTGCAAGCTGTCAAGCACAGTGGTGCATGGTGCGTCGGTTGGGGAAACTGTTTCCTGCTGTGCTGTTTGGAAAGGAAAGGGGAGCGGTTGGATTGGGTGGTGCGTGTACTCTGGCATGTTTTCGACATGAACTCCCTAAAACGATCCGTACTGTAAGGATCTCGTGCGTGTCACGCTCTCTGACACTTACTGATTGACGGTGTAGATCCTGATTGATCAGCAAAATACAGGTCATATGCCTGGTAGATGACCCCCTTTTACGCCCAGGAGTATTCCATAGGCATTTTATCCTTAAAGCCGTTTACCCAAATAGCAGAAATTGCCTTTCAAGCTTATTAATCTTGAAACCCCCCGATTGGTAACCCAGTTCCCCAGAGCGAGAGCAAAAACGGACGTTGCACAACAACATAACGGGAAACAGTTAAAACCACAGGCTAAAGAAGCACACCCTGGGCGCTCTTGAAAACTCTGTTTTTTTTTTTTGGTCATAATATACGGCCTAGCATGGAGCACTTTGCACCAAACGACAGTTTGAAACAACGCGAGAGGGCCATGACTCACCCTGGTGGTACACGACTTCGGTGGAACACGGTGCGACAAGCCCAATAGTCGCACAACTCAACCAAAATGCACTCCATGCGACCACACCCCACATCACGCCGTTCAAGAGCTCCATGGGTGTGCAACGGGTTTCCAGAAGTCCATTATCTCGTAGTTAATCACTCGTAGGAAGCCATAGCTGCCACTACACAGGTCATAAAAAACTATGCGCCCGCTCATCGACGTACAACTCCCCCCACTACGTATAGAGTGTTTTAGCCTCGTGAAAAGGCGACCTCGGGAGTAGTAGTGGCGTCAATAGTGGGACGATCTAGGATTGGCGAGGAGAGGGGGAATGGACGGCGAGGAGAGGGAGAACGGGCGGTGACAAGGGGGGGAACGGACGGCGAGGAGAGGGGGTACAGACGGCGAGGAGAGGGGGAATGGACGGCGAGGAGAGGAGGAAAGGACGACGAGGAGAGGGAGAACGGATGACGACGAGGGGGGGAATGGACAGCGAGGAGAGGGGGAACGGACGGCGAGGAGAGGGGGAACGGACGGCGACGAGGGGGGGAACAAACGGCGAGGAGAGGGGGGGCGGGCTGCGAGGAGAGGGGAGACGGATAGCGGATAAGGATAGCAAGTAGAAGGGAGACGGATAGCGAGGAGAAGGAGGAACGGATGGCGAGGAGAAGGGGATGAGAGGGCGAGAAGAGAGCAAGGGAGGGCGAGGAGGGCAGAGAACGGAGGGCAGAGGGGTAACCGAGGGCGAGGTGTGGGAGAGGGTGAGGGAAGGCGGATGAGAGGGCGGGGAGAGGTGGATGTGAGGGTGAGGAGAGGCGGGGTGAGAGGGCGAGGAGCCTGCTCTCTGCTGCCCACCCGCTCTCTGCTGTCCCCCCTGTTCTCTGCTGCCCGCCCGCTCTCTGCTGTCCCCCCTGCTCTCTGCTGCCCACCCGCTCTCTGCTGCCCCCCTGGTCTCTGCTGCCCGCCCGCTCTCTGCTGTCCCCCCTGGTCTCTGCTGCCCGCCCGCTCTCTGCTGTCCCCCCTGTTCTCTGCTGCCCGCCCGCTCTCTGCTGTCCCCCCTGCTCTCTGCTGCCCACCCGCTCTCTGCTGCCCCCCTGGTCTCTGCTGCCCGCCCGCTCTCTGCTGTCCCCCCTGGTCTCTGCTGCCCACCCGCTCTCTGCTGTCCCCCCTGCTCTCTGCTGCCCGCCTGCTCTCTGCTGCCCGCCCGCTCTCTGCTGTCCCCCCTGCTCTCTGCTGCCCGCCCACTCTCTGTTGTCCCCCCTGCTCTCTGCTGCCCGCCCACCTCCCTACCTCGCTCCGCTCTCCCATCCATTCCCCCATCCGCTACCCCTTTCACTTATGCCCTCGTTTTTGCTCCTCTTTAGGTCACCTATTTTGCTATCGCTTCTCCCCATCTCTCAACCAGTTTCCCCTTCAACCCTATTGTTCACCCCCTTGGTCGCCCGCTCTCCCGTGGCTGTATGCCTCTACTCATCACCCAGCACTTACCCCCTGTTTTTTACTCTCCCCCCTTTTGCCGACCCATCCTGGCAGCCATCCACTACAGTTCTGGTGCCGAGGGTGTGGTGTGCAAGTCTTGCTGATTCAATAGACGAAAATTTATAATTTTACATCCATTCATGAGTGCAACCCAACTTTACAACCTATTGCACCAAGGAACAATTTGCAATGTTCTTGCATTCAGCATGCGAGCCCTCGTTTTCTCATAACCATTGTGATGAACAATATAGTTGCATAGTGAATATTTTTTAAAAATTTCTTACTGTGTGTAACGGTGTTTTTGGATCCGAGTCTTTTGGTGCTTCCAGTCAAGTGCTTGAAAAAATCCTGACGAGCGTGTTCGCACTTGACGCTGCTGCCGTGCATTTGCAGCTCATTTCGCTCCAAGTGGCATCACGGCCCTGTATCCCTACGTTTCCGAATAGGGTGAAGAGATTCAGTTCACCAGAAAGAACACGCCCTGGTTGCATCTTTCTTCCTTGTTGGAACTGTCGCGCATGGGTTTGGGGACCTCGTCGCACACGTTCCGAAATCACCCACCCTCCCGCAGGTGTGGCTTATGGCGGGTTCGTATCTGCCCAGTTTGTAAAAAGTTTCAATGGCAATTTCGCTCTAGCAACCCAACTTTTTCAAGAGTGTCCCCACTTCAAGAGTGGCTCACTCGAAGCCCCCCCTATGCTATTTTAGCCTGTGGTTTTAATAATATTGCGCCACCCCCAGCTGATTATGCCCCTGCCCCCGCCACACTAGGCGTTTGAGCGGAAAGAAACTTGAACTCCCCCCCATACATTTTGGGACTTTTTGGAGTGCAAACCTAGCCCAGCGCCACTACGCCCTAGGCAACGAAAGCACCATGCACAGCACATGCCAGTTTTCATTAGGGCGTGGTACATATCGTATCAAGTGAGGTACGCGACTTGAACTCGCAAAAAAAAAAAAAAAAAAAAAAAAAAATCTTATAGAGCCTACTTGATCGCGTTGAAAACAGTCTAAACGTCTACAATCGCATCAGCTGTTCGAATTTCAGTTTGAAGACATACTCGTGATATGAGTTGTACCACGCCCTGATATGCGCAAGTCGAGTTGCTTGGCGATTCCAAGCGAGTTGCGCAACTCGGCCAGTATGCGCAACCCAGAGTCACGTGCCCTTCCTTCCTGCTGTTTCCAGTGTTCCACGATGTGCCATGCGCCGCTCTGACCAGTTATTCTTCCCCCAATCCCCCCTGCGCCTTGCGCACGCCCCCGCTTTCCTTTTCCCCACCCTCGATTTCCCCCAGTCGTTGTTGGCGAATGTTTTGGTTATGTCATAATTTGTATGCTCGTTCTGATTGGTTTTCGTAGTGTGGTGTGTTCGCCCACTCTCGCCACCCTCACACCACTCCTCCACGCCCCTGTTCTTTCTCCAGCTCAACTTTTTACCTGGTTCATCTTTATTAATCTTGTACGTTTTGGGTCAACGGCTTTGAGGGCCACTCCTTGTACGCAAAGTGTACCCGTCTCAACTGAACATTAAATTAGAAAGTCAATTCGGATGATCCAAGGCCGTCCAATCAGTTTGCTCTTGTGTTTTCAGAGTGACCACACCTAGTGGTCGGCGAGCCTCTAAAAATCAAGATGTGTCAGGCTCGCCAACCAATGTCGAAGCAAAAATCCACCTGATGCGCTAGATACGACCAGCTCGCTAACGGTTCAGTAGAATTACTCATGCAACGCCAACGGAATCCATCGGCGTTGCCCCAGGAAAATCGGTCCACCCACAGGCAATAGGAACGCGCCAAGGAATCTGACATTCTCTTGAAACGCGGAGTTGATACACAAGTGGAGAGACTTGCGACGTGGCGATGTTTACTCAGTCGCTGCATACGCCAGTCAAGCCGCCCATGCACAGTACACGCCCCATTTCCTGGGGAAACCCCATAGTCTACGTTGCCCCTATCGTACGGCCAGTATTCGTTAAAAGGGAAATCTCCCGCGTCGCCCCCCGGGTGCTCAGGCAATATGACCTATACATGACTTGTCT